CCGCGGGCCTCCGCCAACCTTCCGCCACCCTCCGCTGAGGAAGAGATCTATGCCAACCCTTTCGGCCCTCGAGCGCGGGGCACGTTCTGGAGCGCCCCCCTGTCCCCACACCTAGGGCTCGAGCCAAAAAGTGCTTTCCGTTTTCGTTATGTTTTCGGTGTGCCTCGCTGTCTTCGTTCCGCATTTGCTGCAAAACGATATCAAAGCGAAAACGGTCCAAGAAATCGCCGAAACACCGTTTAGCTCGAGCCCTGCCCCACACTCGCGCGGACGGGGGCAGTCACCAAGCACCATGGAACGACTGCCAAAGACGAAATCAGGCTAAAAGCAGGCTGATCGACTACCGTGAAAGCGAATAATGAGGATGCGCGGTAAGGGTGCAAGGGCCTTGGAAGGCCATGTCGACATGTTTCGAGCGGGGCGCGGCCAGCGAAAGTGGCCAAGGATGGGCCAGAAGGGCAAGGATGCCAGAGCAACCTTACCTTGGAGCTACTTTGCGCTGTGACCGTATCGGCCACGAGTGCCTGGCATTCCCGGAACGGCAGGAGCTCTGGTGGTTCGCCGCAGGCCGTCTGCGATACAGAGGTGCATCGCGCCTCTCTCCCTCTCTCTCTCTCTCTCTTCCGCCTTCACTTCAAAGGAACGAAAAAAAGCATATGCATGAACTGCTGGAGGTCCGCGCGGACCTCGGATCCGCGCTGGACCCCTCCCTGGCCTGCGGAGCGCGCCAGGGGCGGCGCTGGAGGCGCCGCCACGGGGGCCCCGGCGACGATCCAAGAAATCCGCGCGGACCGTCGAAACCTCGTGTCTACGCCGTTGTTTCTTCTTCGACTTACTCGCGCTCTCGCGTCCACTCTTGCCGTGGCGAGCGCTATCTGCCGGTAGACGTCGGACACTACCACACCTGCCCCCTCTCTCTCCTGCGACACACGGGACCCTCTCCTCTTCCCCGACCTCGTTCACCCTGTCCCCCTCAACTTGGCGGCGCGCACAAGGGGGCAGGGGGAGGGGGGAAGGCTTCTTAGAAGGAGAGGCTGCTACTTAGAAGGCGCTGACCCTACATCTACAGATAAGTCCCGCGCCTTCTAAGAAGCAGGGGTGCTTCTAAGACGCCTTCCCCCCTCCTCCTACCCCCCCTCTGAGCGTGGCCGATCAACCCTCCCAGTCCAACAGTGTGTGCCGAACGCGCGTTCGCCGCACGGGCGAGACCAAAAGGGGAGCCCGGGAGGACGCGAGGCTTTCGGTAGGGGCCGAAGCGGGCGCCAAAAAGCCATGAAGCAAGCGCACACGAGAACGGCTGAGGACAAAGCGAAGGGAGGGAAAAAGGAAGGTGATGGGAGAGGGGGGATTGAAGGCAGAGAGAGAGGCGGGGAGAGCTGGAGAGGAATGCGAGAGGGGGAGAGCTGGGGAGGAATGGGAGAGGGGGGACTTAGAGGGAAAAACAGGGGGAAAAGGAGGGGGAGATGGGGGGAAAAAGGAGGGGGGAAAAAGGAGAGGGGGGAAAAAGGAGGGGGAGAGCTGGGGAGGAATGGGAGAGGAGGATTGAAGGGAGAAAAAGAGAGGGGTGAGGAAGGAGCTTGCTCCTGAACGTCCTCCCGCTACCGGCAGGTCCTGCCAGCCCCTCCTGCTCCCCTTCTCTGACGAACTAGCAGCACACACCCGGTGGACAGAGGTGGCTACAGTCGAAACGCTGTCACAAGGAACCCTAAATAATAAGGAACGAGGCCCATGTTTCCATAAGTGAAGCGTCGATGCCCCATAGAAAACCGAAGGATAACCAAAGAAAAGCTGTAAAACAATTGATGAACGAGCCCCTCCCCAACGATAAGGGTTGCTTCTTCAGCGGCCCGACTGTACCCATAGGGGGGACGGAGGTGGCTACGGGTGCGTGTTGTCGGATGGGGGTCCCCGTTCGAAGGGGAGCCTCCCCCAGGGTCCGACAACACGCACCCACACCCACAGCCAGACCCCCTCCCTCCGACCCCACTATAGGTATTGATGAATGCGTGTGTTGTTCGTTCCTCGTTCTCTGCGCCTCCATTCCCGGCGCTCCTCGTTCCAGAGATTCATCCCACGGGCCACCTGGCAGCGGACTGGCAGCAACGGATTGGCGACGACGCAAGAGTGACCCCAGGCAGTCGTGACCTTTGGGTGCGCGGCATGGGGGTGCGAGGGGAACAGACCCATGCGCGCGAGCCACTGCTTTCTCACAACATTCGAGGATCGGGGCACACCAGCGGGCACGCCCGCACCACAGGTCTCTCTGGTAAAGGGTCACATCTACTGCGTGCAGCCTAGAAAAAGGCACTGTCAAGGTGGCCGCGCGCATGTTCCATTTCTGCTACCCAGACGGTCGAGAAAATGAGAACTGGCTCTGGTTGACATCCGTCGAGCGCACCTTCCTGCCATGATGAGCTCGAGCGCGGCCCCGAAGTTGCAGAGACACCCAGCGGGGGTCGATCACGCTAACTTTATGCGTCTTCACTTTGCTCTCACTTGATCGACAAAGACAAAAAGAAGCGGCTCTTACGCACCTCTTTTCTTGACATACACCCAACCAGCCGCTGCCATGATAGAGGAGCGCCTGCGCTCGCTGGCCAACGTCAAATGCCGTGGCCACAAGCAGCCGTCCTTGACGTGTTGCCAGAATTCGTAGGCGGAATCGTAGGCCGAAAGAGGAGGAGGAGGAGGAGGAGGAGGAGGAGGAGGAGGAAGAGGAGGAGGAGGAGGAGGAGGAGGGGGGCACTCCCTCTCGCGCGAGAGGGGCTCGTGCTCCCCTCTTGCGCGGAGACTGGCTGGCAACGCAGGGGCTCGTGTTCCCGTGAGCAGCCGCCTGTGACGAGGGCGAGGCTCGTGGCCCCGCTTTCGAAGTCAAGGAACCGCACGGCTGGGCCTTAGGCGAGGGGAAGAAGATGAGGAGGAGCCAGGGCCAGGGCGCTGACGAAAGCAGCCCGAGGTAGAGACCGCCGACCGAGCAACGTGGCCCCGCTTTCGAAGTCGAGGAACCGCACGGCAAGGCGTTAAACGAGGTGAAAGACAAAAGAGGTGAAAGACAAAGGAGGAGGAGGAGGAGGAGGAGGACGAGCCGGGGCCAGGGCACTAACGAACGCAGCCCGAGGCAGAGACTGCCGACCGAGCAGCTTGGTGGTCCACCTCCGCAGCCACGGCCGGCCCGCGCTTGGGCGGAACAGCTCCCCAGCCGCCCCCTGCCGCGCAGGCGGCACCTGTCCGCTGGAGGGTCAGGCCCCGGGACCTCCGAAGCCGCGGTCTCTTCGCGACGCGGCCGCCCCCCCCTAGACCAACCCAACCCAACCCGAAGACCCGGTTGGGGGGTACTCAATGGGGTTCGACATGAGTGTTTTCAATGCTCCCCGACGCCTCCCCCTCCGCTGGGGATGGAGGGCACATCGGGGCCTTCGGGTTGGGTTGGGGTGGTTTGGTGGGTGGTGACTCTCCTCTCCTCCCCAACGACAGCTTGATGATCTGTTTTCGGCCCTGACGGGCGCTGAGGGCCCCTGGGAGCACTCGCGGCAGGAGACGAGGCTCGGCACAGAGCCTGCCGACTCTGACTGTGCGCTGAGCTCGCTACCTAAGCCATCTCGAGCCTCTCATCCCCCCGACTCCCCCTACCAGGCGCGCCTGCCGCAGCACCGGCAATCATGGATGCACGGCTGGACTGACTGACTTGGCCAACCCAGGGCTCTCGACCCCTTCCACGGGGGCGCACTGTTCATCCTAGGCTGCCTGCCGACGGTCCTGGGGCGAAGGAGGAGGAGGAGAATGAGAAGGGCCGTGGTTGCTTGGGATGCTTTTCCGTGGGGGGGGATGGGTAAAAAGGGGGAGGCAGCTCCAACTATCGGAACCAATGCCTACAGTAGGCGGCGCGCTCGGGGGGGACGTGAGAAGGGGCGGCCTTCTCCCTCTCATTCCCCCCCTCGCTCGCCGCCGATACAGCGTCAGCGCCAGGAGGAGGAAGACAAGGAGGAGGAGGGAGGAGGAGGCGGAGGAGGAGGAGGACCAGTGTAAACCCAAGAGTCATCAGCGATGTTGGAATTATCCTCTGACAAGCTCCCTGTTCATAGGCCCCCACAACGGTCCATTTCCATTGAAGGAACTGCCTCGTTGGAAGACAACCGTTTGAAGACCTTGAAGCATGCCAAACCGCTGCTCTCGGGAATCCCACACCACGGATCAAACTGTCTGCTGCATCCTGACGATCTGGAATCGTGTCAGAATGCCACTTATGGGACTTCAACACCGCGAATCAACATAACTGTTGCACCCGCATGCTCCGAAAATCCATCCAATGCATCATTTCTGGTACATTGTAAGAACCCGAATAACTGTTGCAAATGTGTACAGCGAATGCGCGCGCCGCTATCGCGATACCACATTTTGAAAACCACCCGCCCTCAATCCGTGAAACTCTTGCAAAATGTTACCGTGAATATCTGGCACAAGGTTCTTTTATTGTTTAACAAAAAACGAATGTGCGCGGCGCTAAAGCGAGAGCCACATTTTGAAAACCACCCGCCTTCAATCCGTGAAGCACTTGCAAATGTTCAAAGCGAATGTGCGCGGCACTAAGGCGAGGACCAAAAGATGAAAACCACCCGCCCTCAATCCGTGAAACTCTTGCAATTATGTAAACTCATGTGCGCGGCGCTAATGCGAGAACCACATGTTGAAAACCACCCGCCCTCAGCCCGTGAAGCTCTTGTAAATTTGTAAAACGAATGTACGCGGCGCTGAGGCGAGAGCCACATGTTGAAAACCACCAACCCTGAATCCACGAAACTCTTGCACATAAAAAACAAATGTACACGGCGCTGAAACGAGAACCGCATGTTGAAAACCATCCGCCCTCAATCCGTGAAGCTCTTGCACATGTTGAAAACGAATGTGCGCGGCGCTAAGGCGAGGACCAAAAGATGAAAACCACACCCGCCCTCATGCCGTGAAACTCTTGCAATTATGTAAACTCATGTGCGCGGCGCTAATGCGAGAACCACATGTTGAAAACCACCCGCCCTCAACCCGTGAAGCTCTTTTAAATTTGTAAAACGAATGTGCGCGGCGCTGAGGCGAGAGCCACATGTTGAAAACCACCAACCCTGAATCCACGAAACTCTTGCACATAAAAAACAAATGTGCACGGCGCTGAAGCGAGAACCGCATGTTGAAAACCATCCGCCCTCAATCCGTGAAACTCTTGCACATGTTGAAAACGAATGTGCGCGGCGCTAAGGCGAGAGCCACATTTTGAAAACGACCCGCCCTCCATCTGAGAAGCTGCTGCCATTTTTGAAGCTTCAGAATCATGAATGGTGAGGAAGACTCAGGCGAAACGCCCGGCCCGCCCTAAAAACTGGCCTCGGGGTGCGACAGGGAGAAGTCATTTATAAGGAAAAGGAGTGGAGGAGGAGGAGGAGGAGGAGGAGGAGGAGCGCTCTCGCCCATCAGCCGAAACCCGCTGACGCGTATGCCTGCGCGCGGTGACCGAGGCAAAACAGTGCCGCCGTGCGGACTGCACCGCACCCCCCTCTGCACCAGGGGTGGGAGAAGGGGGAAGGACAGGAGGAGGAAAGAGGGACAAGACGATGGCGGTTTGAGGATAAAATCGCATGAGGATGAATGAGAAGTCTCTGGAAGCCAGCTGGTCTGGAGGATGCGTTGTGCGCCGCAGCCTTTCCAGAGCGCTCTGGGCGCTCTGAGAGCGTGCTGGACCGCTCTGGAGTGAGTTATCCTCAACCTGGGCCCGCCGGAGAAGAGGAGGACGACTGCCAAGACATCCAACGCCACGAAGAAACACGGCACGGCTGGCTTTGTTCAGGGTCGTGGCTTCTGGAGGTCCGTGCAGGGCCCCACGGCCACTAAGCGAGGATAGTGCCGAGAGGTCCGGGGGGCCCACGTTACTGAAAAAAACATGACGTCGGGCGACAGTGGCGGGAGGACGATAATTAGGTGAAGAGGAGGAGGTGAGGGGTATGGCGACCCCAATCCCAGACGTACTGGGGCGTCCGAGTGGACAAACAAATTCGAGCCCGACTCGGGGACATACGACGGGCGGCATCCATCCTCGATAGAGGTGCGCCCGAATAGCCCCCTGAGGGTGGATCCCCGATTTCCCACCGCGGCCAACTTTTTGTGCGGAACCCCCGGGACACGGGGCAAGAAATCGCCTGCGAAGAGGGGTCGACGAGAGGACGAGGCGGAGGAGGAGGAGGAGGAGAAGGAGAAGGAGGAGGAGGAGACGAAGCAAGGAGGAGGAGGAGGAGACGAAGCAAGGAGGAGACGAAGCAAGGAGGAGGAGGAGGAGGAGGAGGAGACGAAGCAAGGAGGAGGAGGAGGAGGAGGAGGAGGAGGAGCAGGAACGAGACACCAGGCGGCCTGATCCGTCCGTTCGACGCCTGGACCCTCGGAGATCTCCAACCCGCCCGCCGCGCAGCATTCGCGCCGTGGGCTGTTCCCTGCTGGTCGACGGCGAGCCCCGGGGGAAGCGAGAAGGGGCGGGCCTTCTCGGCAGGCTCGGAAGCCCCCTGGCCTTCTGAGAAGTTTCCTAAGCCTTCCCCAAAGACACCAAAGACTTATCAGAAGTCGCGAGGGTTTCTGATAAGTCCCGCCGCCTTCTGAAAAGGCCTTCTCCTTCTCACTTCCCCCCTCGCTCGCCGCCGAGAAGGGGGGTCTCGAAAGGGCCCAACCTCGACTGACAAAAAGCAGCCTCCCAGGTTTTCCAGGGCCCCCCGGGGGGGGGGAGGGTCTGCATCTCCCCCCTCCTCCGACCAGCCCCCCGGACCTCCGACCCCGTTCAGGCGTGCCTGAAGGCGCCAAGGACAAACCAAGGAATGGGCACGAATTCCAGGACCCCCCCATACGTTTCCATAGTTTCGTCGTCCCCTCCACCTCGGAAGGTCACTCCGGCGGAGGGTCACTCTTTCGCCCAGCCCAGATCCTCGTCGTCTGGAGTTCGGGTCATAGCTCGGGTCTCTGGCGGCCGCTCGGAACCACTCGGGCACTCCTGGATCAATCTCGGCGAGGCGCGGCTTCTGCAAAGCATCCCGAGGTCAGAACACTGACGGGAACCGACTTGTACAGCTGAAGCGTGACCACAGGAGCACGGAACAAGAACATAAGGCCCTGAGCCGAAAGCTCAAGACCCCATGGAGATAACCGCAGGAAGTAATTAAGAACCCTCCCTGTGTTATCGGTCGTACCGAAGCAAATTTAAACATATTTCGCGGGAACCGATTTAGCAGAGCGATATCTTTAGCACCGCGTCAAGCCGACAAAAAAACAACATTTCCCCGCGACCGATATCTACAGTGAGGATAGAGATGCCCAAAGCGAAGAACATTCCGAGGTGGAGGCCCCATACACGAAGAACACAAGGGCACCCCATCCACAGCTAGCGCTGTTCGTGACAAACGTACCAGCCGTAGCAGAACCCAGCCGCACTCCTCCCAACTTCGCCGGACTTCTGAGGCGGCCACACCAGCTGTGGACATGCTGGGCATTGTCATGGTCACGGGGGCGCCTGGCACCCCAGTGGCCACCGGCTCCATCAGCATCGGCCTCGGCGGCAAGAGTGACGGGGCGGCGAGGAGAGGAGCGAGGATCGAGGTTCGAGGATCAAGACTTTCAGGCGCCTTTGGGCCTCCTGGTGCGCCATCGTGGCCACGGTCAGATTCTCCTCAAAACTCTAGACAGAACGCACCACTGGAAAGGTCCCAGGGCCGATTGCGGCCCCAGGGTCTGGCGTGGGCCCCCAAGACGCCGAAAACGGCGCAAAACCTCCGCATGTGGGTTTAGACACGTCGGTCGCCCCGCCAGACCTGCGGCTGGGCATTTCCGCAACTTCCGGCTGTGATGCGTGCACCAGCCGGAACCACCCCCCCTCCTCCCTCCTCCCGCTTCCTGCCCTGGCCGCCACTCGCTGTCCAGCCCCTCGGTCGTGGCCTCCCTTGCACCACCCAGCCGCTGTGCGCTGGAATACCTGGCAGCCTGGCATTTTGACGAACACTTGGATGCCTTCCTCACTCGCTCGCCACTCCACCTAGCACTGGTTGACTTGTTCTACGCCTCCAGGGCCTGCCGCCTGTGCCTCACCACCCGGGTTTGGGCGCGACGCCGCGCCACGTCCACTGCCAGGACGCCTCAGCAACGGCCGCGCGCACCCGCCACTCAGCCGAAGACCTTCGTGCTGTGGGTGCCCTCCCCCCCTCCTCCTGCTACGCGGACGCCCTCTGCCATGTCTCTTTCTTTTGCAGCCGGACAGTCAGTACGCTGCGTCCCAGCCACTAGAGTGCCTGAGCGGATTGCCTCTGCTGCGCCACGACGAAAATGTGTACCGACACTTTCGGAGGTACTCTGAAGCCCTACCTACGGCCCCAGTGGGAAGGATTGTGTGAGTTTCGCGCCGCTTACGGAGCTCTGGAGAGTTCGCATGCGTCTCCCCGCCGAGGTCAGCGCATCCATCACATAGGCTGCGCACGGATAGGTTCATGCTCAACGCCACGTGAAGCTGCTAAGGGTTGCGACTGATCTGTTCGACACGTCGGAGGTACCAGAATGAAGTCATGATAGAATTGGTTCAGCAGGATTTCCAGGAGAATATAGCGGCCATCGTTTCTGCAGCCCGCGCGGAACAGTAGGACTTCTGGGAAATCTGGGAGATTTGGGAAATCTGGGAACGAAGCATGATCATGACCTCTTGCTCCTATGAGCAGTGAGTCCGGAAGGCGGGGCTGGGAACCGCGCCCCTGCTCGGTCTGCACCACCTGCGGGCTGCCGCCCGGGAGGTCGCGCATGGTGGCACCGACCATTACCGAGTTCGAGAACGCCGTGTCCGTCGGCGCCATCATGTCGATCGCGGGCTCCTGTGGCGGTGCCAGGCCTCAAACCTCTCGAGCAGCAACACAAACATCAAAAGAGAAACGCTTCGCCGCTTCGGGCCTCTGGGGGCCGGTTTCGGGCCCTGGGGCCATCAGAAAAAGACTCAAGGATGAAAAGCCAGCCCGGGGGAAGGGGTCGAAAGGTGGGGGCCAAGTACTTTGGAGGGAAAGCAAAAACTAAATCGGAGGTGTGGGATCGCTCCTCAACTCCTCCTCCTCCTCCTCCTCCTCCTCCTCCTCCTCCTTCACCTCCTCCTCCTCCTCCGGCGCGCGCCCGCACAGGGTGCCGAGACCCCTGGCACGCTTGCGCACGCCGAAGCACGCGTGTTAAAACTATTCCTCCTCCTCCTCCTCCTCCTCCTCCTCCTCCTCCTCCTCCTCCTCCTCCTCCTCCTGTGTTCGGCCTTTGGGGGACCCTCGTCGCCACGGCTGGACGAAGCTGCCTGGGACCTGTTTGGTAGGATTCGGGCCGTATGGCGCCAACTATCTGGTTTACAGGTCTTGGATGCAGAGGAGGAGGAGAGGAGGAGGAGGAGGAGGAGAAGGAGGAGGAGGACTAGGAGGAGAACGAGGAGGACGACGACGACGACGAGGAGGAGGAGGAGGAGGAGGAGAAGGAAGAGGGGGAGGAGGAGGAAGAAAAGGAACTGACGGGGGAAGGGAAGAGGGGAGGGGGAGAAGGAGGAGGAGGAGGAGGAGGGAGGAGGGGAGGAGGAGGAGGATGAGGAGGAGGAGGAGAAGGAGGAGGAGGAGGAAGAGGAGGATGGGAGAAAGAAAGAGGAGGAGGAGGAGGAGGAGGAGAGGAGGAGGAGGAGGGGGAGGTGAGGAGGAAGAGGAGGGGAGGAGGGAGAGGAGGAGGGGGATGAGGAGGAGGAGGAGGAGGAGGAGGAGGAGGAAGAGGAGGGGGAGGAGGAGGAGGAGGGGGAGTAGGAGGAGGAGGAGGAGGAGGAGGAGGAGATCCTCTAATCCCCTGATCCGCGAGCGCGGGTTCCTGCTGCTGGGCAGGCCGCCTCCACCACACCAGCCCAGCCGACGTCGGGGAAGCAGGTTCCCTACTGTTGGGGGGAGGCCTCGACTGAGCCTCGACCGCTGCCCACCAGACCGTCGAAGCCCGAAGGAACGGCCAGGGGCGTCGCTGGGGGCTCCCACCCTGGAGGGGGTTGGGGACGCTGCGCCGTGGCCGCGGCTCCAGCAAATCGGACGGCGCGCCCGTCGCGGCGCTCCAGCGATGACACGGCGGCTTCGGCTGGGCGCTGGCACCGGGCCAGGGACCCCAAGACGGGGCAGTGGGGGACTGCGGAGAGGCCGAGGGTGGCAAGCGATCGCAAGTCCCCAAGCCAGCAAGGCCCGGAGGCGGACCCCCCCGCCCGACGTCAGTAGTGGACGGCAGCACGTGGGCGGAACCAGCGCGCGCATAGCCTGGAGGCAGAACCACAGCGGCGCGGGCACACCCGCTCGCGTCAGCAGGTAAGCGTTCGGCGTTCGGCGCAGTAGCGATGCCGAGGGGCGAAACGCCCCGCCAGGCCCCACCGTTAAGCCAGCATGGGAGAACGAGTGGAGAGAAGGAGTGAGGGAGAGGTTAGTAGAGTCCTCCTGCTCCTCCCCACACCTGGTCGAGCTCTGCGCTCCCGCTGTAGCCGGAGCGCCGGTAGCTGTATCTTCGGTCGGCCTGCGAACGTCCGCGCGTACGTCCCCGAACTGCGGGCAGTGAGAAAGACGCGGGAGCTGACATCCTTCTGTCGGGCGGCACCGGGAGCTGACTGACTGGCACGCAGCAGACCCATCGGCGTCTGAGGCGAGAGTTCAAGGCGTGGAGCATTGGCGCGCCAGCTCCTCGCCCTCGGCCCCCTTTTCTTCCTCGCATGACATCCTCCGGCCCCGCCGCCCCAGGCCCGAAGGGGAGAGGCCAGGAGCAGGAGGAGGGGAGCTTTTCAGCGGCAAAGGAAAGGCAGGCGCCACCAGCAGGTGGACCTACAGACCAGAGCCTGGGAGCCAGCGCCGGAAGCGCAGGGCGCGACGGACCGCTGCGAGGGGCCGCCGCGCCACGCAGGGCCCGAAGAGCCACTGCGAGCGGGATCCTGCAGGTCACCGCGTTGGGTAGGGGCCAGCAAGGGCCAGCTACCCGTGCCGACGGAGCAGGCAAGGCTCGAGGCCGCGCCCCGCCGAAGGGCCACGAGGGCTTCCCCCACCAAAACCGACCGACGCTTCTGGCGACCGGTCTGGCCTACGAGGGGCATTGCGGAAGTAGGCGAGGCCCGCGACGTAGACGAACTGGTCCTGAACGGGCTCTCCCGCTGGCAACCCCGTGGGCTCGCGCGCCGCCGACGAGTGCCGGCCACGGGCGTTGCGCCGGCCACCTGGGGCCGAAACACTCCAGAAGCCGTGGAGGGCGAGTCGCAGAGAATAAAAAGAACAGGAGAAGGAGCAGGAGAAGGGAGAAGGAGGAGGAAGAGGAAGAGTAGGAAGAGGAGGAGGACGAGGACACAAAGACATCCGCATGACAAGAATAACGTCAGAGCACCTGCACGGGTGATCTACGCGATTTTGCCCCCCACCCAAAAAAATGCGTTTGGTTGCGCTACGGCCCTGCTTTCTCACTAGGGCCGGGAGGGGGCGCACCCCGAAGCTCAAGGACCGAGTTCCAAGGTGGCCCCCTAACAGAGGCCCGCTACCTTACATCGCGAGTCCCACCGGGTCAGTGCGCGGGGGGAGCAGCTGATGGCCTTTCCGCGTGGCCTAAGGGAAGGGGGCGCGCGGGCTTAGCAGGGCGCCCAAACAAAGGGGGGGGACGACGACACGACCTCAAAAGGAGGAGAGAGGGGAGAGACGGAAGGCCCGAGACCCCAAATTGTTGCTGGGAGGGCTCCTGAGACTTCTACATTTTGAATTCCGTGACCCACTTTCCCACTCATAGGTGGGGCCAATGAGGAGCACCAAAGTGGGCATCATGATGATCACATGTTCCTCCTCCCACCCTGCAGATGTGCACCTGACGGTGCTCCGAAAAAACATCCAATTTGAACGGGGACCGACCGCCCCAGCATTCCTATGGGCCTCGGCCTACCACGACATGTTCTCAGAACCCAGAAGTGTCCTAATAACAAAAACAATTCTCTAAGAACATACACCCGATGTGCTAAGGACAGTCCCAGCCAGAAACGTTCTAAGAACAATTCGTGGAATTCTCAGAAGGTTCTTAGACCACTGTTTGACAGGCCAGTAGGCACGCCAGGACGCATCGCCACTGCTTAACCCATTGCGATGGCAGCGCAGGCGCACTGTTGTGCCCAAGTAGTCTGCCATGAGTAGCACTCAGGGAAGCCTCGCCATGCTTCCCTCGGCTGCCTGTTGGCGCCGCCAGCTCACAACTCGCCTAGATCAGCGACCCGAGAAACCCCGCTAACGCTTTCTCCTGGCAACCTGCATGCCCCACTGGGTGCACCCACTGGCGGCCGCTTGAGCCGGCCGCCGTCGTCTCCTCCGACTTGGGGTAGCCGAAGTTCTCCGCGGAGACCTCGGTGACATCCAGCATGGCCTGGGTGCTGTCCTTGAGCTTCTGGCACTCGTTCAGCCCCCTCGCTTTCTCTGGGTCCACGTCGCCGTCGTTCT